AGATGAGCCAAAAGGGGAGCACAACTGGTACCAATGGTGATGCCAACATTTCAGATATTGTTTCTCAGTAAACTTAAGATGACAATTGCTTTCATCTTCGTCAAATTTTCCTTAACCTAGAAAACAGAAACATAAATAATCTCTGGTCATCACATTTAGTGACCAAAGAAACATGGATCAAGGAAGGACGTTTTCCCAAGCTTGTTCGTGTGGGGTAGTGGTGTACAAAGTGGAATCATCAAATTATATGGAAGTCATCCAGCTCGTCCTAAAGTCTTGTAGGAAGGGTTTTGTTTCTCTGAAAAGGAAAAGAACAAAAAGAGAAAAATCGTTGAAGTATCCATCACTGTCACGGAACACATATTGCAGGTGGAGTTTGCGATAACGAACTATGTCAAAGTATATCTAACTGCTTATGTCGACATAATTAAGATAAACGAGGGGTAAATGTTTGATATATAATGACAATACATGTCTAACTTGAGGAGGGTGTATAGGTAAAGAAACAAATGAAGACAAACTAGAACTATATTATTGTATTCTGTGGTCGATTCACTCTGTACAGAACATATTTACAATGTATTTATTCAACTTGATTTGCATCGTGGCAGTATACATACTGGGGTTCATGTTGCGTACAATGCCGGGGCACGACGACCACATCCAGATTTTCACGCACGTGATAGATGGTTGTAGGCAAACTTGATCCTTTGAGGTTTGTTCAAATAATTGAGTAAATTTGCTCTTGTAAAAATATTGATTGCAAAATAATGCCCCCTTTCAACGCCAATTTTGCTTGTAAGATATACGACAGTAACTCAGTTGGCGCAGGCCAAACAGGGAACTGTTTCAATGATCTCAATTTGATATGGGGATAATTATGCAACACTTCACTTTTTCAGTACACAAACTTGAAAGTAGTCAGGGTGGGTATTGAATGAATGTCATTTTACAAGACAGTCAGCAATATTCCACATATTTACCCACCTTAACACGCAGTTCCTCGTTATCTATATCCTACATATATATATCCCCATCAGTTGTCTGGAACTCAAATTTGGCACACTAGGGGTCTATTCTGGCCACGGGGTTTGGTTCCACTGATTGGAACCAGCGCACAAAACATATGATCCTTGCTCGCTGGGTTCTCCTTTTTGCGTTAATCACAGTGTATGACCCCAGAGCAACAATATTTCCGTGTCTTAGTAGCTGAAGGCCTTAAGTTGTAAAACACCAAATCTATAGATGAATATACACAAACATGTATCTGACAGACACCCATCTTCACTCGTCCAAGTTTTCCCAGAACACATGGACTAGAAATAAGCTTCAATGATAATATTCTGTTGTAATCTGTGAAAATATTTGGTGCAACATCTTGTAGAAATTCAAACCGATGTAAGTTATCTGTCATCTTGCATAGAATTCAGTTTCTGGTATTCAAGTTACTGCTTTATGTTTTCATTCACCCCGTGTAGCTTTGACATTAAAACCTCATTTACACGAACTCACAAAACTTAATATTTTTGTAAAAACACAAATTCAAATTCTTGAAAATACTAGTATTTATGCGATGATACTTGTTGGAAGAGCAATCGGTACATGACAATGATTTGGTGGAAGACCTAGTGAACGAGTGAGTGCGTTGGGATTAACGGCGCTTTTAACAGCATTCCAGTTATATCGCGGCGTGTCAGCATAATGCGGGAGGAAAGCCCGAAGTGATGCAGGTCTCATACGTTTACCACTTCGGTGAAATCCGAGAGCACGGATATGGTGCTGACAAAAATAGAAATATAATATGGGCCAACCGGGATTCGAACCCACAATTATAGGTTACTGGCGTGCTAAAAGTACGCAACTCTGCACAGCGCCTTAGACGACTTGGCCACCCGTGCCCCCACCTAGTGAATGAACAATGGGTACATGACGATGTTTTGTTGGAAGAACCGGTCAATTAACAATAGGTACATGACAATGTTTTGGTAAATTCAGCTGAAAACGTCAAAAGATCCAGCTCCTCGAGTTTCTCAAGCACAACGTCGACGTATCCGCCTTTCCATGCCCCTAGCTTGCAATGGAAAACATAATAACAAATAACAATACGGAAATTGTCTGATTTATTCTAAATACTTAGCAACTAATAAAAATACAAATCTATAGGAAACAAAAGTCCACTTGAAAACCCCATGTACAGAGGACACGTACCATTTTGTAAAAGGATGTCATCAGTAGTGATGTCATACCTAAATATTGTTGGTACATATTTGGTGTTTGTCAACGAGGTTATGGTCAGGTGAATATATGTAAAAAAACACTATTCATTCTGTGCTGCAGTTGGTAGTTACAATCGTTATGTTTAATTTGCATATTTTTTCAAAATTTGAATCACCTAATAAATTATACTTAAATACCCTATAACAGTCAATTATGATTATTATTATTTTAAATTGAACGAACAAAATATATTTCTACCAAATATATATTTTCGTTTGACAGAACATATTGTTGCCTAACTACCAGTTTTATTACATTGTACAGGTAGCCGAATGGTTTGGTAAATTTAATATTGCAGTAAAAATTAAAAAATATCACTTTGCGTTAATTTTGGTTAACATTGGGATCAATATATAATGGAATAATCAGTCCCAAAGAGCGGTATTTGTAAATCAGGTGACCAAAGGCATAACAATGAGCTTGATTGCAATTAGAAGAAGCCTGGTCTAACTTTGTTGCTTCATGATACCTCTCTTTTCCCACTGCATCTGTTTAAAATAGGACTTTAGTTTGATGAACAACGACCTTTCTCCTTTTATTTTTATTCAACACATTGCTCTCATGGTAAATCAACAACTGTATGCTGTATCGAAAAGGTCCAAAGTCCTTCCGATTTGTATACGTAGCCAAAGAAGGAACATGATAACATATGACATATATACGACTTGACACAGGCATGTCATCATTTGTCGGTGGCGTGACACAGTCCATGACGTCAAACACAAAACTATCCAATTTTCTGTAATTTGTTACATTTGATGATTAAACTAATGTTACATTCATTTTAGATCAACGTGGATCGAACTACTTTCACACAATTAGGTGAATGTGCGAATCTCAGGGATAAATTATATTTAGCTTGGGTCATCAATTACTATGACTTCATTTCAGTTTGTAGTACGTTTCCATTATGTGTTATATCATTTCTGATAAACCTAAAAGTCAACATCGACATCGATATTTGCTTCGAAATAGTTGTCGTTTCTCGCGAGCAAATACGAAATGTGATTGTCGTGATACTGATCAATATTTGCATCAATACAACGGAGTTCCAATGGCATGCAGTTTAGCATAGCGGAGTTATGCCCCGTTGTCCTAATTCTTATCGCACAGCATATTCATCGGTGTACGATTAAACACGATAAACAGGGTTCTTTTACGTAAAACAAATTCGTGAACAACATTAAAAACTGCTTTTCAGACGTGTATTATTAATTTTACACCATGAAATATGAAATCCAATATTTCTCAAGTGTCACGTGACAGCAATTCTCGTTTTCAAAAATTATAAAACAAACTATACGTCGGAGAATTAAGTCGGCAACCGGGAGGCTGAAAGAGCTGCAGGACCTTGACGTCATACCGGCTATATTCCTGCGCGTAATTAACCGCTTATTTCCGTTCCAAACACGGAGTTCGATCACTTGGTAATCTCGTTCAAAACCACATCGTCAAAGTCATGAAATGACATTCGTCAATGAGGTACACTGATTCTCTCTATAGTCATATTCAGCAATTGTTTGTGCAAGAGAGACAAAATGGTGCACTATGAATTATTCTGCCAATTTCAGGCATGTCAGCATGTTGCTCAAATAATCAGGATGGCAGTTGTCTGAATACTCTGCTGATGTTAGGTAAACGTTTGGTGTCTTCATTTCACAACTTTTGGCTACACACACTGTGCCCATGTTATGGACAAAGTATGATAACGGACAGTTTAGATAATTTCAGTTAGGTAGAGGTTTAAATAAACATCCCACCATGAAAAGTGAGACTGACAGCTAGCTTTTATCACTTTTTTTCAAAGCTATGTTACGTGATGTCTGTATTATGTATATCTCCATGTATATGGGCGTATGCATACTTTTGTTTCTTGAAAGTGTAGTTTCACACAAGCATTTTACCCAAAGTAGGTAATCGTTGGTCATGAAATTTCTCATACCTCCTACATGTTTTTAGAAAATACTTTTTATCACATTTCATGAATATCTGTTTAATTCGTGTGGTAATGTTTTCAAAACGTACACTTATTTTAAGCAAAACAATACCAGATCATAAACATTGGACGACTTCAGTTAAATGACACAAGTTTGTTGATTTTAGTGGCCCAACAGGTGATCTATATATACCAGTTCATATATATTACATTCTAAAGAAATTCGTTAAGCGCTAATCAAACATTATCAGAAAAAATGGTATCCTGAGGCATTGTGGCATTGATAATTCTAGCTATAGGTTCAGAATCAATACACAAGGGACCAATGCATCTGAGACACTTTGAACTGCATGTTATTGATTTGTGGAGAGTGCAGTATGGTTGTCATGCATGTAATGCCACATCAAAGAGCACGGCAGTATGACACAAACAGATACTGTAAATCTATCATTAGTAATATCGAAATAAAACAAACAACGGTATAATATATGTCGACGTGTGAGAAACATTAGCATCGCCAGCATGTATATTCCATGGTGAACAATCTACATAAGCTAAACATAACACAACAGATGTTGCCCTGTTTTGAGGTGTGTCTGACTATAGCCTCACAAAGCACAGTCCAGACAAGTGCTTGTCACAATTATGTTCATCACTCTCTCTGTTTCAAATCAATTTCAATTAGGCCATTGTGTTTTGTCATGTGTGCATAATTGCATCTTTTGGGGCAACATAGTCAATACTTGGAAATATGAGAAAGTTAATGTTCAGACTGCCTCGCGATAACAGACGTTTTGTCTGCTTGTACCGTCAGGGACCATTGTGGCTTGGCTGGCTACGACCTTCTCTCTATATCTGCAGGTTGGTAAGTACTTTATCCTGGTCATGCATTCCTCAAAAACACACTTTTGTGCTCTCAGTATCTCCTTGCAATAGGACCGTAGTTCAAGGAGTTTAATATTTTAGTTTTAACATTTAACTAAGAATTCATTAGTTTTTTTACAATATACATCCTCTTATATCCCATCGGCTTTAGAATATCTGTATTTAGCAAAGATTAGGGTTCAATCTGTGTGATCTTTCGTAGTTCAGGGTGTGCTAATTGACCTTAACATGCAAATTAATTAAATTTGCTGGAGCTGGCCTCAGGTAAAACATGATTTATATTGATACAGTTTCAATTAATCAGAATTATAGTTGACATCCCATCTTCCCCCCAGTAAAGCATGACCTATATATCGGTGGATCATACCGCAGTTCCAGATTCCAATGACTTTGTGCATTAAAAGGTATAATAATTCGCATGCATATGTATGGAGAGATTAGTGTCTTATTGAAGAGATCAAATAGGAATATTAAACAAATGTAACCATGCCAGATTATTATTATTATTATTATTATTATTATTATTATTATTATTATTATACAGATTAAAATTAAAAAATGCAGCAAAGAGGGTTTGGGTGATCCTGGCACAGTCAGGCTGGTTAGGCTCATCATCAGCTCAGGGCCCTTGCCCCCTCTACACCCAGCCTAGACAGCGAATGGGACTTCTCCCAGGGAGCGCTGCCTAGTCAAACCCACCCAGAACTTTTCGGAGAATGTGAAGACTCCCTAACACTGCAACCTTCTGTATTACCCAGATTGTCAGAAGGCCTGTATTCCTGGTAGCAAACCCGGGTACTCTCCCAATGTCAGTCAAAGATTGGGAGGTACCAAACCTAAGGCACCGAGAACAATGGGGACTCGGAAAACTTGATACATGGGATGCAAGCGTGACATTTCGAAAGCGAGATCTGCATATTTGCCATGTTTTTCCAGAATCTTGTCAATCACATTAGTGTCAAAAGGGACAGCAATTTCAATGATATAAATGATTTCATTGGATTAATAAAACACAACAAGATCAGGTTTGTTGGCCTGGATAAGTCTGAGGCTGTATACGGGCCTATTCCAAAGAATTTTGTATTTATCATTTTCCATGACCCTTTACATATTCTGGGTCGTACCATGGATGGACCTCTGTGTCAAAATCAAAACCACAAGCATGGCCAAGACGATAGTAAAATGATCGAGCCACTCCTTCATGTCGCTTCAGATACTATGTGTGTGCCAAAGCTGGGCATCCACTGACAATGTGTTGGAAAGTCTCATTAAATTCATCGCATATTTACATGTTGATGCCATATCACACATTGACGATTTCGAGTGAGAAAGGACTGGTCCTGAACAGCAAAGAGAAAGCCTTCTGTTTCCCTTTTCAGGCCAGCCGACTTCATCTACGTGAAGGACTCTGCAGGGCTGTATGTGTCTCACACTGAACATACACTCGATGCATGCTTGCCATAAAAGGCAACAATGCTTGCCGTAAGAGGCGAGTAACAGTATCGGGTGCTTAGACTCGCTGACTTGGTTGATGCATGTCATCCTATCCCAATTGCGTGGATCTATGCTGGTGTCAATCACCGGACTGTCTGGTTCAGAATCGATTATTTACAGACCGCCGTCATATACCTGGATTATTGCTGAGTGCGGCGTTAAACAACAAACAAACAGTGGTCGTTCAGATAGCCTCTCCTTGACAAAGTCTGATTTGATATTGCATTTGTCTTGGTTGACACTCCTCTCTGTACCGTTCAGCAGTACAGAAACATGTTATAATTGTTGTTGTTGTTGTATTTAGAATCCAATGTATTTTTATTCTAGGGTAAACGGGTTATTTGTTCTTGTTTATACATAAGTTTCAGCGCCGTTCCTACATGCACATCTTTGATGACGTCACAGACGTCTGTCGAGACTCTCTTTCTGTGATGGTTGTGCGAGTAGGCTAAGATCGATTTGATATACATGTGCATAGATGAATGTGTTGATTCCAGTATGTTTACAACGGAAGAACAGTGTATAAACAGGTTCACTTATTGTACTGCATGAAACGTTACGGTTCAATCACCACAATGATATCTGATATTTGAAAACTGTTAAAAAAAATCCAGTACATCCGGTCTCAAACAATAGCATTTCTGGTATCCGTCACTTGGAATAATTTCTGCTTTGTGATGTAATTACGTTTTGTCACGAACCATCTAACCGAATAAAAACATGGTAGTTCCCCCGTCGCTTTGGGGTGCATAATTATCAAAGGAGAATAAAGACCATGGCATACCGATAAAGGGAAAATGGCAATTACTGCGATCAATAGCAAAATAATTATATTCTGTTCCAACGTGGCCAGTTTGATATGAAACGTGTATTTTAACTTTGCTATAATTTAGTTGAAACTAGAGCAACAACGTCAGGATAGAGTTGCTAAAATGAAAATTCTAAAATCGAAATAAAACGGCGATGACGTATATTTGACAAGCGCAAGAATCTGCCTGAAGTTCCTTTCATCCTGTGTGATCTTGTAGTTCAAATGACAGAAAAAAGGCACAACCATGTGTAAATGCCACATTTTCTTAATCGTAATTATTCAAATATTCTCCATATAGGATCTCGGGTCCTGATATAAAGCTTGCTCCTTTTTTTTAAAAAAGGTTATTTCTTTACTAGATACTTTTTAATGATCGCATTTTCTTCATCTTACCATAATGATTTGTCGGAGATTGTGTTACAAGTTACACAGTAAATGTCGGGGGAAAATGGTGAAATTCCCATACGACTTGGAATGTCCATGTAAATCATCGTTGTCGACATCAAGTGACAGCTGGTTAATAGATCTGTGTGGCTTAGTGTTTAGGGCAACATATCTGCAGATCCTTCAGAGATATGTTGGTATTCAGTCTCTTCAATAACCTGGATCTTAGGTTCTATGTTTCATCACTTTCTTGCTTAATCATTCATAGCAATGTACCCCCAGTCAGTATACAGCCTTCAACACTTCCATAACACACGGAGCTATTAGGGAAATCCAATTGCTACATTCTTGAATGACATCAAGCGCCTGTCAAAACACCGCCTAGTGATTGTTCCCAGGATCATCTCAAATTATTGTCCGTGCTTGTTGAGAATTCTTGAGAATTGTTCCATCTTAACCCAACAACGAGCAACATATTTGAGGGTTTTGATTTAATTTCCGCAGCATCTTCACGGAAAAAGAGTTGTCATTCTGATCGAACACTCCAGTGTCATAAGATTCCAAACGAGACTACCCCCTTGTGTTGAGTATGAAAACCCAATTTGAACGGCGTGTCTGCGTGCTTTTGGCGTCGTATCGGTCACGTCGTATCAATTACGTCTCTCCCTACCGTTGTTGCCTGTGTTCCAAAGTTTGGCCTGGCAATTGATTATCTATAATTTGTACTGTGACGCGCCATGCACGTGCTAGTGGTCACTTGACGAGAACCGGCTTTACTCAAACAAAGTGGAGCTATCTTTGCTTGAAATTCTAAATCAGCCCTCTCATTTGACCAAGTGTCCTTGGTTCGCAAGTCGATGGTAATTAAGTAAAGCCTCTGATTGACCGGCATTGAGTTCGAGTGCTTATGTGGAATTTCCGTCTTTGTGTTGTTTGTGAAGACGATGTATTGATGCCAAGGTGAAGACAATGTGGCATATCCCTGGACAAATATTGACAATTGCTCAAATATTGGTCTGTGCAGACACTTCTAGTCTATTTGAACAGATTGATAGTATTATGTGACGGTGGGATAGCCAAGTGGTTAAAACTTTGGATCGTTACGCCGAAGAACTAGGTTCGAGTCACTTCGTAAAACCCATTTCAAAACACCCAATAATTCTTTATTAACCTTATAAGGTTATTCGTTAGTTTCAGTGCAACATTTCAGTATACCATGCGGCATGGAGGAAAAGATAAAAGTAACGCAAATTGTGCACATTTACCACTCATGTAAAACACGAACTAACGACTGAGAGACATACTCAGGAATAAGATAGATAGCTGTGTCGCACAACACCATAATCACTTCCAACACACCACCAGTGTCACCCTCTGCACCCACACATCACCACCTCTCGCCCCCTGCTCCAACACACAACTGTCACCCTCTCCCCCTCACATTCAACTGCTATCACCCCCTGCTCCCGCACACCACCGCTGTCACCCCCTGCTCCCACACACCACCGCTGTCACCCTCTCCTCTAACACACTACCACTGTCACCCTCTCCTCCCACACACCACCACTGTCATCCTCTACCCCCACACACCACCGCTGTCATCCTCTTCTCCCACACACCTCCACTGTCATCCTCTCCTCCCGCACACCACCACTGTCACCCTCTCCTCCCGCACACCACCACTGTCATCCTCTCCTCCCGCACACCATCACTATCATCCTCTTCTCCCACACACCACCGCTGTCACCCTCTCCTCCCACACACCTCCACTGTCACCCTCTCCTCCCACACATCACCGCTGTCACCCTCTCCTCTAACACACCTCCACTGTCACCCTCTCCTCCCACACACCACCACTGTCAAGCTCTCCTCCCACACACCACCACTGTCACCCTCTACCCCCATACACCACCACTGTCATCCTCTACCCCCACACACCACCACTGTCACCCTCTCCTCCCACACACCGCCGATCTCACCCTCTCCTCCCACACACCACCACTGTCACCCTCTACCCCCATACACCACCACTGTCATCCTCTACCCCCACACACCTCCACTGTCACCCTCTCCTCCCGCACACCACCACTATCATCCTCTTCTCCCACACACCACCGCTGTCACCCTCTCCTCTAACACACCTCCACTGTCACCCTCTCCTCCCACACACCACCACTGTCAAGCTCTCCTCCCACACACCACCACTGTCACCCTCTACCCCCATACACCACCACTGTCATCCTCTACCCCCACACACCACCACTGTCACCCTCTCCTCCCACACACCGCCG